CCTTGCAGCTTAAGAATAGCTAGAAAGAATTTCGACGCAGTCCGTGAGGGCCGCGGTAGCATAATTGGTCAGTGCATTCGCCCGGATTGCGAAGGGTGCGGGTTCGAGTCCCGTCTGCTGCCTGGTCCGCGTGGATTTTTTTTTCTAGTTATATTTTCTTTAGATTTAAACATCAAGCAGTTACATGCTTTAAAAATAATAAAAATTATAACTATAATTGCTATTTCTTCTTTCAAATATATAATACTTGTAAAAGTATTCATTTGACATTGTGGGTTTACCTATGATGCGAAGAGATGGCGCTGCCTTGCAGCTTAATAATAGCTAGAAAGAATTTCGACGCAGTCCGTGAGGGCCGCGGTAGCATAATTGGTCAGTGCATTCGCCCGGATTGCGAAGGGTGCGGGTTCGAGTCCCGTCTGCTGCCTGGTCCGCGTGGATTTTTTTCTAGTTATATTTTCTTTAGATTTAAACATCAAGCAGTTACATGCTTTAAAAATAATAAAAAATTATAACTATAATTGCTATTTCTTCTTTCAAATATATAATACTTGTAAAAGTATTCATTTGACATTGTGGGTTTACCTATGATGCGAAGAGATGGCGCTGCCTTGCAGCTTAAGAATAGCTAGAAAGAATTTCGACGCAGTCCGTGAGGGCCGCGGTAGCATAATTGGTCAGTGCATTCGCCCGGATTGCGAAGGGTGCGGGTTCGAGTCCCGTCTGCTGCCTGGTCCGCGTGGATTTTTTTTCTAGTTATATTTTCTTTAGATTTAAACATCAAGCAGTTACATGCTTTAAAAATAATAAAAATTATAACTGTAAAATTACTTGTTTTCATTTAACATAAAAACAAACTGCTTGTTTTTCTGTAATAAATTTCTGTACGTATTTCCATCTTGTTATATGATTAAGGGCCTTTATAAAGGCTTGTGATTGCGTTGAAGCGTTCCTTTCAGATACAGGGCAATTAGTGCAGAAAGATTTGTGTCTCTCTGGTTACCCTATCTAAGCTTATGGACGAGACTTATATTTACCAAAAGAAGTTTTTTCGTTATCTAAATAAATAATCAGAAATTCAGAAAACACGGGGTGTATAATTAATAATGTTTTAATTAAGACGAATTAAGATAGAATTTCTCCAGCTATCATATAATTTCTTAGCAAAAACAAAAACAACTCGATACTTAAATTTTCTATAGTTTTTATTTTGCTGAATCAATTAGTAAGCGCCATCTGTCAATAATGTTGATAACTACTGTAACTGAGTGGTCAGTCATACTTTCTAAGTTAGCAAAAACACGATTTAAGTAATACGGCTACCGTTAACGTTAATCGTTGCTAGATGGCGTGTTGAATTAATTATACATATAACAACTTTGATGCAGTTTTTCTTTTTTAATATTATATAGCAGCTGTATTGATTGTGTTTACAATGAAGTGATGTAGTCTGTACCTAAAATTATTAAAAAAAAAACGAGCTCGATTGCCAATTTCAAATACCTTCAAAGCAAAGAAATATAACCTATGTTCAATTGAGCTTTGTAAAAAGCAGCATCTTCTCTCATTGGAAAAACATCGAGAGATTGCGGATTTGATGTTTCTGATGAAGATAGCATCTAGTGCCATAGATCCCCCGGAACTTGTGTCCAAAATAAATGTAACGTATATTAAATTGAGCTTTGTAAAAAGCACCATTTTCTCTCATTGGAAAAACGTCGAGAGATAGCGGATTGAAGTTTCTGATGAAGATAGCATCTAGTGCCATAGATCCCCCGGAACTTGTGTCCAAAATAAATGTAAATTATAAATATATATATATATATTGCATTAAATGTTTATTTCATTATTATTAGCATTTACTACTGTCATTAAATTTTCTGTTTTAAATTAGTTGTTGGTCTTCCAAATAATATTGTATTAATTTCATGTTAGAGAAAAATAAATAAATGATCAACTGATTACAATTAACCAATATAATAATTAAATAAATATTTCATAATACCTCTACGCCAAATCGAGCAATGGTAAGGGTAATTAAATTTGTTACAAAAACTAAAATCCCGATGGTCTAGTTACAATGACTAACACAACCAACTAAACAACATCATAAATACGATGAGTTGCAAAACGCGAAATAGTTAATCAAACAGTTTTCATAAAGATGTAAAAACAGTGGCGAGCATGTTAATGAAACACTTGAGAATACTTGAATAAGGGCCAGTTGTTCGATAGTTAAATTTGCACGTTAGTCAATGCCACGTCAAATATATTGTAAACTGTGTCAAATTTTGACAAATGATTACTTCGTTGTGTTTATATTTTTAAGCATACTGCTAGATGTCAAAGTATAAGGAAAATTTTACTAGAAAAAAATCCACACTGTCGAGATTTTAGACGTTACGGGACCGACCGAGTGGTTATTATTTTCTAATAAAAATTTCTGTAGATTTAAGTTGTTATTTTTTCTAAGGTATTTTAACTATAGTCACATTTAAATATAAATCAAACAACAAGACCTTTTGTCTTGATAAACTTGAATATCTACTTATCAATAAAATTGATCCGTACTTGTATTTAAATGAATTAATAATTAACATCCTTTGCCTTTTACACTATTATTCGTAATTTAAATTATAGTCTACAATATATTTATTTCATTTATGTTTTATGCCAAAACTGATACTGCGTTCTACAACCCAGAGTTATTATCTCTTTATGGGTTATAAGCAATGTTTTATCACCTGAAACATTCTTACGAAACATCCAATTATATACAATTAGTGAAAGGTTACAAAAGCCAAAACTTAAATTTTTAGTTCCTAAAAGGTAAAAAAAAATGTGAAGATTTATTCGTTTCTTTGTCAGAGGGTGTAAAAATGAAGGTAAGCGTGTGAGAGGTTGTTTACAACAGACAATAGACAATACCGCTTTGTTTTTGTAATTTGTATAGCTGCGTATGTCGGACTACACAGTGCCACTTACTCTCATACATGCAGTCTTAATAGTGTTGCAATTTATGCACTAATTGCTGGGAATCCCAATGTTATTGAAGCTATTTCACACACACGCTTAATGGGAAATGTTGAATGCAGCTTATAAGGCTAACCTGTGCTGCTATCTGTATGAGAATTCTGCATATTTAACTTTGGGTATTTCTAAGATTTTCTGCCCTTTCTGTTCATAGATGGAAGCTATGGTAAACAGTTTTGAACTTATCAGTACTTTCCAAAACTGACCTAGAAATTCTATGAATATTTATAATTTACTAGCGGCCCGCCCTCGCTTCGCTTCGGTGTAGAGCTGAAGTGTAGACTACAGTTTTTGTTCTCAGGCTTGTATTATACACAATGACATTCATTTATGATTCTTCTTATACCTGCATGCAAAGTCTCAGCCTGATCGGTTTAAAATTGACAAAGTTTCATACAAACTTTCATTCCCTATTTTATCTCCTTGGGGGTAGAATTGATCGAAATCCTTTCTTAGCGGATGCCTACGTCATAACATCTACCTGCATGCCAAATTTCAGCCCGATCCGTCCAATGGTTTGGGCTGTGCGTTGATAGATCACTATGTCAGTCAGTCACCTTTGAGTTTTATATATAGATTATCTTACTTTATGCAGTTAATGAAAAATCAGATTATTCGTTGTGTTTCAGTACGTTGGATTGATATAGGTTATATTAGATTGAGAAAATCTTTCAAAATAGTATTGCTCTTATAAGTATATAAGAGCAAAACATTATTGTATTTTTATGAGTGACAGGTAATTAGTAGATCTTTTGTGTTACTTATATACTGCTGCTTTTTAGTTCCATTCTTAACTAAACAAGTCAAACAAATCCCAAGAAGTATCTCGAAAAAATATTTTTGCAACGTACCTCAATATATTAGTACTGGAAACTAGATACTAATTTATATAAAATAAAAAAGAAACACTTTTAGTATCGATTTTTTTTAAGCATTTAACTGCTAGATGTTTAAATCTAAAGAAAAGTTTACTAGAAAAAAACTTTTAGTATCTTTAGTCAAATCAGGTTTACAGAAACGGTAGCGGGAAGTTCGGTTGAATAGACATATTATATTAATAGATTTCCATTTGAAATCCTTAGGGGCACAAAATACCTTGCATAAGTGATAATAATTTAGATTTTAGTTAATGGGAATTGGTTGAAAACCAGCCGCGTCAGGGATTCTCTCTTTTATTCAACTAAGAATTAGATAAATTAATATTAAATATAAATAAATAAATTTAATATAAATTAATAATAAATTAGAAAATATATGAAAGATACTCAATCTTTCATATATTTTCTAAATTAATCACACTTAAACATAAAATTCAACTTCTCTTTTTTGGGTTTAGTCTTAAGTCAGAAGTTTATAGCACTAATAACAATTACGTTATTTTGACCACCTCAAATGTTAGCTAAAACATGATGAAGCTAAAAAATCATCATTAAAATTTGATATTTTTTTAGAAAAATGTTTTTTGAAAATAAAAATAAATAACTACTTTACGAGGATACTATCTTCACATGATAATCTGCTTCTCTACTTTCAAAGTATTTTTTTGACTTAAGCTATACAATTCGGTTTAGGAGTAAAATTTTAACAGATACTTTAAACATGTTGTAGATGTATTGTAAACCCTAGTAAAAATGTTAGTTTAGAATTTAAATTCAGTATGTCATTTTTATTCCTTTATTTCTGTTATAGCGCTGTCAATAAGAGTACTTATTACACAAACTATCTACTAGTAATAGATAGTTTGTGTAATAATGTAAACAAAAACAACAATGTCATTATTGAGAAAATAATTATTTTCATTGTCATAGCCAGTTGTTGCTAGATCTAAATATGGAATAAACTACCAACAATCATAGCTGCCACCCGTGAAGGTCACCCATTGTGTACGTTTTAGGCACAATCAACTCCATTCCCATTTCCCGCGTTTGATTCCACGCACCCAAAAAAATAAAACATTAGATAATTTTCTTTCGTATTATTTTTTTATTTTTCTTCTCTCTCATACTTTACAATCGACTTACATCCTAAAGGTAATGGTAACTCTTTTCATATCACTAAGTACACGTACGCTCATACATACATGACCATTTTTTACATAAATAGAAAAAAAATGTATATAGTACAAAAATTATGAGTTATATCCGTTCGTTGCTGTTGTGTCCCGGCCGCTGGGATGGCGAGATTTTATATTTTTATAAATAGCGCTCGGATGTTCGCTTGGCGGATGAAATTCTAAATGACTTAGTTAACTAATCTAGTGGTGGTAGGCTGAGCCTCCGAAACTGAGTTGGCTGTAATCGTTATAACCGTGCTCGTTATAACTGTGCTCGTTGACGTACACTGGTACCTTGACTGGGACGGGGTAAGGCTTCTCTACTGGCACTGGGATGTGCTTCTCAACGTGCACGGGGTAAGGCCTGTCGACTGGCACCTTAACGGGGTAAGCGACTGGCTTTTCTACGGTCACTGGGACGTGCTTGTAGACTGGGTAAGGCTCTGGCACTGGGACCTTGACGGGCACTGGCACAGGCTTCTCAACGTGGACTGGGTAAGGCCTGTCGACTGGCACGTGCACTGGGTAAGGCACTGGCTTCTCAACGGGCACCGCTACTGGCACAGGTTTCTCGACAGGGTAAGGGGCAGGCACGTGCACAGGGTAAGGCCTGTCGACTGGCACTTTGACGGGCACTCCGATATGCTTGTATACGGGGTAGGGCTGGGGAACAGGCACTTTAACTTCTACGGGGTATGGCACATGTTTCTCCACGGGGTAGGGTTGCGGAACTGGCACCTTTACGGGGTAAGGCACGTGTTTCTCAACAGGGTAAGGCTGGGGCACGAACACCTTGACGGGGTAGGGCCTATCTACGGGCACATGGACGGGGTAAGGGACCTTCTTTTCAACGGGGTACGGGGCGGGGACGTGGACGGGGACCTTGACGTACTCCTTCACGTGATATGGCACGTGTTTGACGACCTCGTAGGGCTGCGGCACGGGGACCTTGACGGGGTAGGGCACGTGTTTCTCGACGGGGTAGGGCACGGGTCTGTCCACTGGGTAGGCGACTGGCACGCCTTTGACCAGGGTGACGGTTCTGGTGACATCAGTGTGGTGGCCCAGGGGTATTCCGTAGCCGGTGTTCTCGATGGCGCCCTCTTCGATGAAGTTGTAGGCGCCGCCGGGACCGTGCGCGTTGCCGATGTACCCGACGTCTAGTCCGCTGATGCCGTATCCGTAGCCGAGGTTCAGGAGTCCGCGTTTGTCCAGTTTCTTCTCCAGCGGCTCGGCCTTCTTGTCTGTCGTCTTCTTCTCGCTGGCAGCGGCCGCTGCTACCAGCAGGAAAACTAAGCAGATCTGTGGAGGGGAGAGAAACAAAAGGCTATCAGTAAACGTTGCAACTAGATAGCGCCGCGCCGGCTTAAAGAAACAAAAACAAAATACTATCAGTATAGTTTGTATGTTTATTTATATACGGTTCGGGTTAAGTTTTTTGTTTATACCGGATTTGACTAATTCACCGTGTTGATTGATCGAGGAACGGTTGATTGCTAGATGAAACGCGTGTACAAAGAAAAATGCCTAGAAACCTCCAAATTTAACGCCTGAATGCAATTTGGCTGTTCGATTAATTGATCACGTAATAAAACCTACTGCCTAGATTGATTGGTTATTGTATACATAAATTATTGTGATTTAATATTATTTATTAGATGAGAAAATAAACAATGTATCGTAAAAAAATCCGATTGACTAGTTTGCTATTATATTTTAATTATGTGATGGCCCTCTAAAAGGTTAAAATTAATTAATTCTGATTTATAATTACAATTAAGTGACAGTAATTAGGTATATATATTATATTAATCTAAATTTATTACTATTCTAAAAGCCTAAAATTTATTTTAGTGTAAACCTTTCTTAAATATTTCAAATGAACGCTGATTATGAAAAAAAAATTACGCATTAATATAAGTTAAACTTTAATTTTGCTTTTCAAAATAACACGTAAGTCATCATCATCATCAGCCTATTAATGCCCCCACTGCTGGGGCACAAGCCTTCCCTATGGATGGAACAGGGAGATTGGGCCATGACCCACCACGCGGGCCCAGTGCGTATTAGCGGGTGCTAACGACTGCAGTTGCAGCCGGGACCAATGGCTTAACTTGCCTTCCAAAGCACGGAGGAGCTCGAGATAGTAAATTTTTGGTCACCCATCCAATGACCGACCACTGCGAAAGTTGCCTAACTTTAACGATTGCAGCCGAACGCGCTAACCTCTTGCGCCATCGAATACCTCACACGTAAGTACCGTGATAAAATATTCTAAGCATATGTTTGTTTAACAAAACCGTCGTTGACTATTTTCTACGCGGTTATAAACTGTAAATATACCGAGTTTTATAACAATCGAATCTGTTTACGATGCAGCGAGGAAATATGCAGTTCCATAAGAATCAAGTAAATGCATTCAGGCATTCTTTAAACCAGGTGCATAACGCAATCACCCGAATCGTTAGAAATCTAGATATAATACCATTGAGTTCAGTGGAAATGGTAATAAAAGTAATTTTTCAGTACATATAACAATTTATATTATGTACACTACAACATCATATTTTCTAAATTTGAAGACAAAATCTTGGCAGTTTTCTGTAAGGAAGTATTGTTCCAAATTTAAAGTTAAAAAAAATATTGGTCTGTTCATTTTTTATCATTATTACTATCAATCTTTTTCTTGCTTAGAAAACAAAAGAAAAACAACTTTTTGAAATAAAATAAAAAATGACAGCAAAATTGTGACTAACATCGTTCTTAATTTCGCATAGTTTTTTTTTATAACTATCATTTTTATTATGTAACTCTTTTCCTTAAAAATCAACATTTTTGAATAAACAACACCTTTTTTCAATGTGACCTGTATTCAACGATTCTTTCACGTCAAATGGAGCACAATAACACATAGTTGCTACGATACAATCTTCCAATTTAGTTCCCATGGCACGATTAGCATAAAAACTGTCACATTCTTGCAACAACTAGTGTATTGTAACCTAGTGTTTTGCCGCAAAGGCTAAGCGAGCTGACGACACAGCGGTGCAAATCCCATGGTAGTGCGGCCATTGCGCTGTAGTTTGCGCAAGCGTGTGATAAACGGGCAGTGGGCAATGAACGCCTCTCGTGTGGTTTCATTGGTAATGACGCATTTTTGTAATGCAACCCAATGATGAAGAAGTCATTAATGATAGACTAGCTAACCCTCTTTCGCACGCACGGAATTGGGGTAGTAATGCAATGTTTAAGTAATCTTTGAACGATGATGGGGCAGTGGTTTGCGGTCTATTAATTAAACCGCTTTCGCGATGGCCGTTCTTTGGATGGGTGACAAACTTTTTTTATCCTGAGCTCCTGTAATCTTCACAGAGCAATCCAACTGGCCCCGCGCACCCCGCAAAATTAGCCTAACCCAACTTTTTTATATTAAAAGGATCGCCTAATGGTAAGCAGCTGCCATAGCCTACAGGTGCTTGTGATACCAAAAATGTCACTCGCGGCATTAAAAATAACCTGCCCTGACCCAACCCGCTATCCTATGGAGCCCTGAAACCTTACTCGGACAGAAACACTACCGAAAGGTAGTATTATTTTACTATCGTTTTCTGTAAGGTGGAGATTACTTACCCAGGGCGCTTCAAAGGTTACCTCTCTTGATTATTATATTATCTCTTGATGATTATCTGTTGGAAAAGCTTGTATCCTGGTAATGGGGACATTAATGGGCTAATGATGATGTAACTAATTGTGGATATTAAATCGCTTGAATCGTTAATAACAATACTTAACCTATTCGATAATCTTAGGAAAAGAAAAATGGCACCACATGTCTAGTTGCATAAATCACAAGCCATATTCTTCGAATTATTATAAAAAGGAGGTCGTCTGTCAATGCGTTTGTCTGATTACATATTTGCATATTAATTCGAACACGAAACCAAATATGTAAGAAGATTTGGCTCAAGCAATTGAGCATGATTCATCAGGTTTCTTCTTCGCAAATAAATATCAGCAATTTCACAAATCCCCCAAACAAACATACGCGTTACAGAAACGGCATTTGTGATAACCAACCAATTGGGCCAAAACCATAAACGTTCACGTAATCACTGTCAAATATCTGTGATGTCATGTTGCTGACCTGTCAAATGTAACGCTTCACTTGTTTGCGACTAAACGAGTGAAATCATATTTTTACGCCCAACAACATTATGTAGGTTATGTTATAAAATCCCATTCTTTCTTTTAGAATATATTTTTACTGTCTTTTTTGTTCACCATCACATCACACTTTCGTATTTAAATTTTGTGTAAGCAATCTTATAGGTTATTATTTATATTTGTCACCTTTTTTAATAAATTATTATTTTTATGACAAAATTAGCAAAACAATGAGCGTGAGTTGTACCAAAATATTTTATTTTAACTATTCAATTAAATTACCATTTAGTTAAAAAATGGGTAGAACTATTTGACTATAATCAAAATGAGGTCATAATTTGACAGTGAAAATAACTGCCCAAGCGAGGTCGCTTAAGTTATAAAAATCAACTTTAACTAGCTCTGTGGTTCACCTTCATTAAGCCTATAATATTTTTTAATACACATTGTAAACAAACGATGTCCTGCATAGGTATTCTGTAAGATGCAATCTCACTTGCGATCTCATTTATGCGGATTTCTGACAAATGTCAAATATCTAATACTGGCTGCTTCTACAGACACACAGTTTGCCGTGGAATGGCGTAATGCAAATCAAACTAATGTCCGAAATGGCAGCTACCGTAATCGGAAGTGAGATTTTATTTTACATAATCGCCCTACTGTTACATTTATACGAAAGTTCTAGCAATGAAAGTGAAATCAGGTGGCGCGTCGTCCGTCCGAGATGATGAGGCGACCTTGACCGCGCGGCCGCGGCCAACTAGATTCCGCTACGTCTTACGAAAATAATTTTCGATACCATCATAATAATATGCAGTGTTGACTATAAATCATAACGTTACAGAAATAGCCGATGCGATTTCGTAAAAAAAAATGGTTGCCTGTAAAGTCGGTTTTACGGGCGAAGATTTTACGTGACAACGTCTTTTTCTCGGTAGAATATTTATTGATATGAATATAATTAAATTGCACAATAGGAACAAGGAATTGAATGAAAATAAGAATTGCACAAATTTTAACTATAGAAATATATTTTGTTTACTAAAACATTGTACATGTAAACTTAAACTTAACACGAGAGACTCATCGTAACGTTACCGAGCGTTACACTTTTTCATAAGTGACTCCCAGCCGCAACCTAATTTAAGACGTTGTCACGTCAAAAAAGGCTGTGTTTAGACGTTAACACGATAGGTAGTGATTTATTTTCGTTGCCATTACTTACGGTTGTAAAATTACGTAAAGTTATTTAACTTCAATAAACACATACACGCATTAAACATGGATTAAGTGATTTAAAATTATTTTCAATCAGTGAAGAAAGTTAATAATCGATATATTTATACGAAATAAAATTGTAAGGAATCATTGTATGTAACAAACGATACGGTAATAGACGACTGCAATGAATAAGTCATCATTGAAATTTTCATTAAGTTGTAAGTGAAACCTTGATACGTATAAGATTCAAAGTTGAAAGAAACTGCATATTCTAATGCAAAATATTTGCATAACGATGATATCAGAATATGAGTTTACATACAATTATGTTAAATAATCAGCGACTTAGTTTGCAAACTCGTAGTCATAGTTTGAAATCAAAGTCAACCTACTTTAACGAATGAAAAATTGCATCTTGATAATAACCGTTGTCTCATTTTTATGTTTCATTGCGCTTCAATTGATTTTTTATTTGATATGCAATATATATTTAAAATATATATATATATATTCCAACACTCACACCAATTAGCCTAGCCCCAAAGTAAGCACTATAAGGCTTGTGTTATGGGATGCTAGAGTAACGGATAGAATACATATACTGTACATATATAAGTATATTTATATAAATACATATTAAACATCCATGACTGGAGTACAAATGCTCGTATTCATCACACAAACATCTGCCCCCACCGGGATTCGAACCCGGGACCTCTCGAGTCGGCGACAGCCATGAAACCCGGCGTACAAACCACTCGGCCACGGAGGTCATCCTATTAATAAAAAACTAAAAATAGCTTATTATTAATAAAAAACTTTAGTCAAAAATTTCAATTTCAATGTAATATCATCTGTTTTTAAAAGAATATAATATAGAGTTTCTATTACCTACCAATTATACAATACAATACACAATTCTTTATTGAAAACACCACAGTACAGTACATAAATGGGGTAAAATGTATTTACCCAATTTATGTACTGTACTGTGGTGTATGTATAAACATAGTGATTCAATGGGCGGTCTTATCGCTAGAAGCGATTTCTTCCAGACAACCTTTATTATTATTACAGTCGGTAAAGTTTTACTACCAAGGTACGAGTACTATGAAAACTTAAACTGCGCAATGCTTACATTGTTTGACATGGTACGATGCTAATCAGTGTACAGACGAAGGAGGTCGGAGATCGGGTAACTCGTGGGATAATGTTACTTCTTATGGCATCTTTCGCAACCGGCTACTTACCGCACCGCGAACGGCGATGCCCCTAGCTTATGAAACGGGAAGAACTCCATTTGACGATTTTGTATTAATATTTTGAGTGCTAGAATGTTGTTTAAATGATTTCTCGTGTACACCTATTAGTACGTATACCTATTATATATTCATCATCATCATCAGCCTATTAATGTCCCCACAGCTGGGGCACAGGCCTTCCCTATGGATGCAATAGGGAGATTGGGCTAAGACCCACCACGCGGGCCCAGTGCGGATTGGTTGGTGCTAACGACTGCAGATGCAGCCGGGACCAACGGTTTAACGTGCCTTCCGAAGCACGGAGGAGCTCGAGATAGTAAATTTTTGGTCACCCATCCAATGACCGAACCACCGAAAGTTGCTTAACTTCAACGAACGCAGCCGAACACGCTAACCACTTGCGCCATCGAGCTTCTCTATTACTTATATTTCATATACGTAATTCTAGGATTTTAGAGACTCTGTGGTCAAAAGAGTTTTATTCAATTTATTAGTTTGCGGCAAATAAAATAAACAAATATAAGTACCATTTGTTATTTTTTATGCATGTAACGTCTAGATGTTTAAATCTAAAGCGAAGGGTGCGGGTTCGACTCCCGGGTGCTGCCTGGCCCGCGTGTAATTTTTTCTAGTATTTTTTTCTTTAAATATAAGTTCATTCGACCTAACATGTACGTTTTCCCAGAAAGTAAAATTACTATTTAGAACTTCATATTCGTCAAAGTTAAAACAGTGCTAAAAATTGATAAATAAACGTTAATTTCATATCCTCCCATAAAAACTATTATTCTCAAAAAAAATTACACATTTAATTATAATTATTATTCAAAAAATTTGTATTACCGTTTGGATTAACATTACTAGTAGTATTACATAAGTTAATTGACGCCAACTTGACTATTATAAAACAGTGACAAATGCGCATTCCTGGGGAAAAAACTCGCTCAGTACCAAAGCCTTATATCAACTATTACGCAGAGTAAGAAGAAAATGTCACATTTTTCCAACTAGATTCTACTCATTCTTGTAACGAGGTTACCGACGCTAAAAAGGCCGTGCAGGTATAGATATCAATACATTATAATCAGTTTTGCAAGTTCAATTTAGATTTGCCCGCGATTTATTTCGTATTAACTATTGCACCGCGTTAAACCCCTATAGGGGGTGAGTTTTGGAAAAATCTTTCTTAGCGCACGCCTACATCATAAAAGCTATATCATCATCATTTGTCTATTCTTGTCCGCACTGCTGGGGTACAGGCCTTCTCTATGGATGCAATAGAGAGATTGGGTCATGACTCACCACGCCGGCCCAGTGTGGTTTGGCGGGTGCTAACGACTGCAGATGCAGCCGGGACCAACGGCTTAACGTGCCTTCCGAAGCACGGAGGAACTCGAGATAGAAGATTTTCGGTCACCCATCCAATGACCGACCACTGCGAAAGTTGCTTAACTTCAACGATGGCAGCCGAACGCGTTAACCACCCGCGCCATAGAGCTCCTTCGAGGTTACCGACGCTAAAAATGCCGTGCAGGTGTAGATATCAATACAATATTATCAGTTTTGCAAGTTCACTTTAGATTTGAATTAGAGGCTGCGCGAGATTTCTTTCGCATTAACTTTTGCACACCGTTTTACTCCTATATAGAGGGTGAGTTTTGGAAAAGCCTTTCTTAGCGCACGCCTACATCACAAGGGCTTTATATGTGCCAAATTTCAGCGCAATCCGTTAAGTGGTTTGAGCTGTGCGTTGGTAGAGAATTCAGCAACGGATGCCTTCTAAAATATAGGTAGAATTGATTAAAATCCTTTCTTAGCGGATGCCTACGTCATTACATCTACCTGCATGCCAAATTTCAGCCCGATCCGTCCAGTGGTTTGGGCTATGATTTGATAGATCACTATGTCAGTCAGTCACCTTTGAGTTTTATATATATAGAAGATATAAGAAAAGTCTGACTTTGCGCAGGTGATTATAGGATTGCGCGGACAGTCGGCAACGGTTGCCGCGACCACACCCGCACTCCCGGCGTACATTGGGGGACTGCGGTCTTCAGAATGTACGGGTGACCGGTGCAGGAGTATTGTCTGGTTTTTAGTGGCCCTGTTCAGGGTTAGAAAAGGCACTGCTCATTTTACCCGACCCAAGGGCTGGCTGTAATGTGGGAGGAGTCCCACATACCTTCTTCTCGCTCCCCCGGTGGTTGAAGGATGTGTAAGGCATTTCCCAGACAATAAAAGAAAAAGGTATTGATTATAGGATTAATCTTGGTTGTTGAACTCCTTATTACACTGGTTAGATAGGCTAATTATTATGTTTTACAGACGATAATGGTATTAAAGAAGTCACTAATTTTAACAGACATATCAATGGTGTATTTGACAAAATGATTACCCGAATTGAAATTGTATAAGATTAGATTTGCGTTAGGAGGTTGTCGAATTTACATCGCGATCTTTACTTATTATGAATACGCAGCAGTAAACTTTACCTATTTTTAAGCTGTTGACCAAATTGTTAATAATGTAAATCAACAGAATAAACATTAAAATCTACATGCTGTCCTTGGTACTTGCATAACTACAATAATTTAATTCGTTTAGGGAACAATAATTTCTAAATAAATATTAATGATATCAAGTCCACATGATGCTCAGTTACATAAATTTACACTATACTTTGGTTTAAAAAATTCACGTGACTAATCATTATACAAAGTCTTCAACATTCAACTCCGGCATTAACTGAATTAATGTGTATCTCAGCAACTTCGGAAGTAACTCAATTAATGTGCAAACTAGTCGATTTCGTAACTGAATCGATAGAGCAACCGGTCTCAGGGATGTACTAAAGGTTTCCCTTCGCCTTCCTGGTTCAAACCCGTTACCTACTAGTTAGCGAAATGGCCATTGTGACGTAACTCACTCAGTGGGAACTGAGCTTTGAACTATTTAAATGATTTGCGACTAAAGAAATTGCGTTGAAACAATTGCGGTCTTACTAAAAAAAAAGCAAGACACGGTTTCAAACCTTGTTTAGACAAAATTTGTACGTAATTTTTTCTTAAACGCGTTGAACGCGTGTCAAAATTTTTGTGGGAATGAGGTTGTTTTTTTAAATAAACTAACTAATCCATGGGCTGATATTTAATCAACTATGAGTTTTAGTTTTGTTACTATATGATCATTGATATAATAATAATAATTGTGATCCTTCTACTATCAAAAGTTTTATTAATGAATCTTGGCTGAATTTAACTTGTGTATTCGTTAAATTGAAAGTTACGTAGAGTCCATTGAGTTCTTCTATTAGTTCTATTGATAGAACAGAACGACATACGAATAAAACTAGTATTTTGAAAACGAATTCTTTTGAATATATATAATCTAGGCGTTTTTATCACGAAGATGACTTCGTAGGCTGGTAACGCGTTTATGTCTTTTCCATAACTGTAGCGTTAGTTCTATAACAGTGTTATATTATTACTAGCTGTCCCAGCAAACTTCGTACCTCCATAAAAAATAGGGGTTGGTGATAGAATGGTGAAAATTTAGGGTTGTTTGTATTTTTGTACGATTTATCATACAAAAATAAAAGCAAATAATTTGTAAAAAAACATTAAGTGTGTATCCCCATTAACATTTAGGGGGATGAAAAATATGTTGTCCGATTCTCAGACCTACTGAATATAAAATTTCACGAAAATCGATCGAGCCGTTTCGGAGTAGTTCAATTACGCACATCGTGACATGAGAATTTTATATATTAAAAAGAACTAAAGATAAAACAAAGAATAATTCTTATTCCTAAAACTTCATCATAAATCGTTAGACCATTCCATCAGGTTTAAATAATGGAGTTAGCGAACGGTCACAGTGGTAATTTTTTAAGGGTTCTTGAATGATTTTGATTTTAAACCGGATGTTCTTATCACAGTTGCGTATTAAGTTGAATAACACGATCTTTTTAAAAAATAAAAATCATAACAAAGTATCCGCAAAGCGTTGACTTCAAAAAAGTGTGCCATATTTATATTCTGGAAAGAAAGGATAGAATCTGATATGTGTCAAACTGTCATGACAGTTTCTACACTTTTGTTCCAGAATATACACGTACGATATAGAACACTGTTAACACTAGCACGGGACACACTGGTCGTTTTTTTTAATTCACTTTTTTGAAGTCATCACTTGCACTGTACACTACACTTCACTTTACTCCACGGTGTATGCACTCACCGTCTTTTTCATAATGCCTCTTGTGTGTTTGATGTCGGGATTCGGACTGGATGACTTGGTTTGGTGTTGTGTGCTTATATAGGTGGTTATTTGGAACTTTCGCCACTGCCCCCGGTGTGTAGCGAGCCGCGTTTGGACGCGCGAGTCCTTCATATTATGTACGAACGGGTGGCGGGAGTCGGACGCGCCTCGTGGTGCATTTGCGTTCGAACTTTGAAAATTTTCAAATCTCCTACCGTGTTTTGTTTTCGAATAGTTCATTTTAAATTGGTTCTCGAACGGTTCCTCTGTAAAGGCGTTGTTGATAGGTATCATGCGTTCTCACTTTAATATTGGCTATTACCGTGCTTATAACATTTTCTCACTTTGGTACTTGCAATTTTTGCTACCGTACTTTGTTTCCGAGCGTAAATTAATGTGTATTATTCAATACTTCGTCTCAAAGCGTCATTTGCGTGTAAAGAGTGTTGCTACTAGATCATAGCCTAAAAAATAATCGACATAACTATCATGTGACTAGGGGTAAATTCGTGAATCAAAATTTATGTTAACAATCAGTTAATACGAAGTGATTTTTTTATTGTCAGTGTAGATTTTTCAAAACTCCGATGAGGAATTTGAACTATTGCCTGTCTCGTGTTTCGTAATCTATCAAACCTTATTTTATCTGTTTGCATATTTTTACATAAAATTAATCCCAAAAAGGTATCGTAAAATTTAGGTAATTGCTCTAAAAGTCGTATCATTGACATTAATAAGTATCATCATGATCTTGTTTCACTTATGTCAGAAGACCTCATTAAACCAATGACACGGCATCATCGATATATTGTACCTGTATCGTAAAAAAAACCTGCTTCTCAAAGTTTCAAATGTAGGCTTCGGTATAAACTGCTTTAATTACAAATTTACATAAAACCAACGTGTTGAGTAATTCTTTTTACATTTTTTATAAATATTTTTCATTTGTAAATTCTTAGTTCAGTATTACATTTAGAAATTACGATTCCAATGAAATATAAACAATAAAGTGTTAATGTAATTGCTTTATAATCAAGGAACCGTGTGTGAAATACCTAATGTTCATTAGTTACGTGCTAGTTGTTTGGACGGACATAAATTTTGTTTAAGTATCGGTGTTAGGTATCGCCTAACTAGCACTACTATAATGCACTAATAAATCCGTCTTTCAAAGGGGCAATTCATAATTTATCGATCAAATTATTTTGCAATAAAGATCAATTATTTGCTCGTAATACAAACGGACGCGGAGTTGAAAATTTAAAAACAAATGACGATCACTACTAGTTCAACCATCCATATAGAAAAATAATCAGTTTATTTTAATATGTATACCACAATTTCGAGACACAACAATTTCCGAAATCAATCTAGGAGACGGAATAGATAGAATGCGCGGGATTTTAATTTACGGGGTCTTAACGTGCTTAATACCTATAAAAGAGATGTCAGGTCAGTTTCAAAATTATGTCTATAGTAGGTATTTAGATTAAAAATTATGCTATATTTTCAGTTCAAATAATTATAATATTTAGATGAAACTATTTGACATATTCAGTGCCATTATCAACCAATCATCATAACCAAAACTGAAAATAAAGTCGAAAAACTTAACGTGTTTTGAAATTTTTGACTATGAAAATCGGTTCCACAGAATATAACTATTAACTTTTGATTATTTATATTTTATCTTTCACATGCTATCAATTCCGTAAATAGTAAAGAGTGACACATATTACATTATTAGGAATCACGGTGTCATAATGACTAAAAATCAAATTTATTTCAAAGTCTACACAGCCACGACCAATGACACAATCCACATTACAGAATATCACATAATAACTCTTAATTAAATGTTTTTTTCCTGTTCCATTGTTTAATTGTTCAGGAAACAAAAAGTTTTCATGCATTCATCGGAAAGTGGAGTCCTTGCGCCGGCGCAGAAGTCGATAAAATCACAAACGCCCACGCGGAAGTCTCGAGATTGTTTTTGTAAAATCGATTTATGTTGAGATAATTGTCCGAAAATCGCCGCCCGTTGTATACCGATTCAGTTTCCGAGATCGATTATTGTATTGGTAGTTTAAATTTGTATCAATCAACTGTCGGACACAATTTTCCGAGACCTTGATAATGAAGGTATGGCTGGTACGTAAGCGTGCTGAGGTTATGTTGGCTTATTACAAAATACCTAATTTGATATGATTGCAAATAGAATTTACCTACACTGACATGCAATAAAGGTACCTCCGATTTAATAAGCGATTTGCTGGTGAAGTACTTGTGAATATCACTCGGATACAAATTTAAATTGAAGCATATGGCTTTACAATCTTATCATGCCAATTATTTTAACTGCTTAAGAAAAACTAGTTAGCTATATCTTGTTTGACAAGCCGAAGGAAATGCGTACAAGATATTACAAATAGCTTATCAATTATTTCATAGAAAATACCACTACTATTCAATTTGGATAAGTGAAATCTAAATAAATAAATAAAAGAGGAGCTCGATGGCGCAGGTGGTTAGCGCGTTCGGCTGCGATGGTTGAAGTTAAGCAACTTTCGCAGTGGTCGGTCATTGGATGGATGACCAAAAACATCTATCTCGAGATCCTCCGTGCTTCGGAAGGTACGTTAAGCCGTCGGTCCCGCCTGCATCTGCAGTCGTTAGCACCCGCCAATCTGCCCTGGGCCCGCGTGGTGGGTCATGGCCCAATCTCTCTATTCCATCCATAGGGAAGGCCTGTGCCCCAGCAGTGAGGACATTAATAGGCTGATGATGAAATCTAAATAGTAAAAGGTTAGAAGAGATAATTCATTATTATTATATATAGTGTATATAGTGATATAACTCAAAATTCACGTGATTACTCACATTGCTACAAATTTACTTGAAAATACTCTAAGCCCTTATTAATAAACGAGGCATAAGCTTAGACTAGTTACGCCGTGTTTAATTCATATTACTCTAGTGCTATTTGTAATCCAATAAACAAAGAGAAAACATAGAGTAACTAATCGAATCTTATTCGTTGCTTATTAATAAGAAGGTACAAGTAGAGAAGATGAGTCCAACTTACCAATCTAACTTTTCATTAGGGTAATTTGATTCTTTGGACATGATAAACGTCTCTTCCTCAAGTTTTTTTTACATAGTCTTAAGCCCAATTGCCCCCAAGTTCTTAATACAAATTTCAAAGCTAATCGTGTTTAAGCCTTATTTTATCTTTTTTGTCTTTAAATAACGGACAAAGGCGGAATGATATATTTGTTTCTTAGGTTTTCACGCACATCACTCATTAAATAAAACTAGTTTTAACGGGTTAATGCACGAAACTTTATTTATTTATTGACGTTTCGGAATGATATGATAAACACGATTGAGCCCTAATTTGAAATAAGAACTTTGGCTGAATTGACGTAGATTTCAATGAAAAAGAAAGAAGGTTCTTCAAAGAATTCAACTGTATTAGTCAACTATGCCCAAGTATATGTTAAGTTAAGAAAGAATTGTAACTAAGTTTACATAGGATCCGTTAAATCTATAATCGAGAAAATAGTCACTTACAAACTGACGTATAATTAATTCAATTCAATTCGTTTATTGCATATCCACAATGTACAAAAAGATGTTAAATATGACAAAATATGATCATTATGAACCCTGTCGGGCACGCAACTAAATGAGAGATGGAAGAGAGGAGTTACATTCAAATTTCTATGTTAGTTTATAGATTGAAAGAGTTAGATACTGAATGTCACTATAGTTAATTTATATATTATTTATGTGAAGAAAAATTCATTTCATCAATATAAACAAACAATCAATTTATAGGCGGGCCACTAGTAAAACAAGAAAAATAATAATTTTTAAATTTCAAAGTCAAGTTCAATAATATTTATGTGTGTATGTTTGTGTGTATAATTGCATATGTCATTTATGTGTAACATTTTATTGTCATTTTATACATGATTAGCGGGCCCGACAGACGTTGTCCTGTCTACACGTCTTTGTGAATCTAAACCATTCTCAGATCCCCTTGAACACACACAAAAAATTTCATCAAAATCGGTCCAGTCGTTTAAGAGAAGTTCAGTGACATACACACTCACAGAAGAATTATATATATAAAGATAGTCGCTATTTACTTAAGATTCAAATAATAATTAATACTATAGTAGCACTTCTCGATAAATAACAGTTTTATTTTTTTTATAAATAGAATGTCATTAGTTTCGTTTCTTAATGTCTCTGGTAAATAGTTATATATGATTATAGAAAAGTTGTTAAAAATGTGCCTATAATACAACTACCTAATAGACAACAAAATATATTCAAAAAGGTCGGTTACACAGAAGAAAAGAATTATATAAAACCTCGAACGACATCGCACAAAGCGAAAAACCGGCGAACGACCGAACGTAGGTATTGAAAGGCGCGGCCGATACGGAGCAGTTCCGGTCTGGTGTCCTTGAACCTTCTACCCTGGACCACGGCACACAATGAACTTGATACGGCAGTACAATATATTTATATAAGTTCCTTAGTTTCAGTGTATACAGACTGGTGATATTTAAGTCGCTGAAAATGATCGATCTCGGTATACAAGTAACATAAAAACATATTTCTTACACTCACACCTATTTGCTGTTAATTGTTAATATTTCAAATTAGGGAGAAAAAACAAACCAACGGCTTAACGTGCATTCCGAAGCACGAAGGAGCTCGAGATAGTAAAATTTGGTCACCCATCCAATGACCGACCACTGCGAAAGTTGCTTAACTTCAACGATCGCAGCCGAATGCGCTAACCACCTGCGCCATCAAGCTCGTCCTATGTGGTTCGCCCTATGTAATAGTATGTCCTCAAGGGTTCCTTTTAAACAATCTTTCTTCGCGTTACGTTACGTCCAAGGTGCAGCTTTACATAATTGTCATAAATAAAAATGATAATATTAGATCGACATAGGGATGTCGAAAGTTAAAAAAAATATCGATATATCGATCTTTTAAAAAATATCAATATCGGCTTCGATATATCGCGAAAAAAACATCGATATATCGGACCAATTTTCCCAAAAATATCGTACAGTAGCTCACGAAATATGACACGCGGAATAATAATGGAACGAAAATTATCGCCCTAAAAATAGATCCTATTTTCGAATGATGACATAGACAATACTAAATACAGCACAGATCATGGATATGTTGAATATCATTAATCTGAGATCCAGTTACGATTTTTCCAGATACGAATTTATTGAAATCGTGATATGCCGCTAATA